GAATCACGCTGCCCGTCATCCCAGATGTCCCATTTATTATCCCCAACAAAGGTCCCATAGTAGTTTCCATTGTGTTTTCTGGTATCCCAATATTACCCCAATATTACCTCCTCTGCTTCGCTCCCGGTCCAGTACAAGTGCATTGGGTGAGGCGCTCAAAAACCCTCCTGCCGTGGGCAGCATGCAGCGCCTTGTTGAACTCGGGGGGGCAGAACGGCAGCTCATTACGTTGGGGAGCGCGTGGCGGGAGGTGTTGGCGTCGCAAAGGTGTGCGAAGGTGTGTAGCCAGCTACCGTGCCGGGGGCAACTTTTTGCTTTGAGAAAAATGGCGCGTCAGAGCGGGCTTCACCCAATGGCTGTCCATCGTTCTAGAGGGTAAAACCGGTCATGCAGCTGCAAACGTTCGAGTTGTTTGGAACGTGTGTGGAGACGTGGGTTTCAATTCATCTTCCGCTGCATATGCCAGCCAGCGACATTTTTGGAAAGGAGATATGGAGGATGTTCCGTTTTTAGCCCATCACAGGGTCCCGGTTCTTCCAAGCTACGTGTTCCTCGGCAGCGTTGCCGCAAGATTACAAAGGGATCAAGGAATCCTCCGTGTAGATCCAATATGATCATTTTCCAAACACGCGAGCCAACTCATGACATCATTGGGACATGTGCGTGAACAAGTTGGTGCAACAAGCAGAAGCAGCACAGTGAAGGCCGAATCTTTTTCCAGCATGAGAAAAGGGCAAGTATCAAGTCCGTGGCCAGCTACCTGTAAGCTGACTGGGTTCAGAGGTGCCCCACGTCAGAAACGACAAGGGCTGGAGTAAGCACAGCAAGCCATGCAGAAACCGGCTTGCTTGCACACACTTCACACATCTGTGTGAACACTCCGGTGGCCATGAGCCGCTCAAGTGAAGTACCCAATCTTCACGGAGACGTGCACGGAGCTGCCTCCAATCAGTTCTCTAAAAGCAAACTGGCTACTTTGACCTAGTTCGTAGGAAATCAGGGGAAAAGTAGACTGGAAGTATGGGCTGCGGGCTTTCTGCTCGCTTGAATTCAAGCTTGGTCTGCAAGTTGTGTGCACGCTCTAAACATCAACATTCTGAGCTCCCAAGCACCGCTTGCGGTCTTAACTACCTGCTCCACTTGGGGCAGTAAACGTCAAAGCCTTGCTTATATGCTAGACAGTCTTGGCAATCCAAGCATATGGCCTCCCGCCTCCTTTGATCATGCCCAAATGCTTTGGTCAATGAAATCATCGAGCTGAACAGATTGGAGTTGACTAGACAGTGTGACCCCTCAACCGTTGAGTGCCAACAAATCTGAGGGCTACCGTGGGGATTCCGAAGGGCGAGGCGCACCTTGCCACAACAAAAATCTCTGAGGCTTGGGGTAAGCCTTGGCTGCGTGACGAACACAACTGTGGTGATAGAACTACACCATCCGCTTCTGCATCACAGGCAGAGGCGGTGTTTAAGGTTGAAGGTGCGGAAGGCTCCCAATGCAGCGCAGGATGCACTTTGAAGCCAATAGTTGGGCCGCTTTCTGGGGCGCAGCAAGAATGGGAGGTTCCCAACTAGTAAGGATTATAACATTTGGGAGTCTAAATTGGGGTCCCCTATGATCACAACTTGCTGTGCCTGACTCCCAAGGAAAATCTGCACTCCACTTAACGATCATGGCCCTCTCTGGCGACGGGAGTATCAGGCGATGCCCTACCGATGCGCGTGTAACTTGCAACAATCATGAGGTCACTTTCTTGCATGGGTTCGTAAAATCTTTCCAAACTTTAGCCCAATGGCAATGGACACGCTTCACCAACTTCCTTTCATCATCTCCATGTGAGCTATGTCTAAACTCCCGTTAAAAACTATTCCCCTATATATAATCCCATATATAACCGCCGTTTAAGGAGTTTAGGCTACAGCTCATGTATCTCAACCAAGCCCCGGAGCATTTTCTGGCTGAGAATCGCGGAACACAATGTGGACCCCTGATTCATAAACCCCCTCCTCTTAAGGGCCTTAAAATTAGTAGGGGGGTCACGTGTTCCCTGCTAAAGCGGGGATATACATGTTGATGGCGGGCGCCCTTGTTACCACCTAACCAACATCTCAGTCTCCATCACGCTGTATTTTGAAGGCTTACGTAGATGGCTTGGCGATGATGGCGCTGAAGCTTATAAAGACACCGCTGCACTGACTTCAATGAAGCACTAGCGTGACTTCGCTCTTCGAGTTCCTCACCCTGGAACTTACTCTGCTTAGTAGAGAATAAGGGAATGCATATTCTATGGGGATTATATAGGGAGTAGAGTCTCTTGTTCCCTACTTACCCATTATGATGTAGTAATTTCCATTTTCTTTTCCATTATCCATATTTACTCCCGACATAACCCCGACCAACCTGCGGTAAAGAAGAATAAGCGCCGCCTAAACGAACTTCACCTTCTTCACCGAGAGCTCCGCGGTGTCGCCCTTGTCTAGCTTGGCCTTGGCTTCCTGATGGCCAGGTGGATTTAAAGTTTAGGGTTTAGGGATGCAACGCAACAACGAAAACTACATTGTCAACCATTTTCTCCGTGCAAGGCACAATATTGAAACAGAAACATGCCAGCAGTATGCAAAAGAATTGCAGCTGTCTAAAGCAAACCCATGTGGCGGCTCCAGCTTAACAACCCTGGGAAGCGGCCCTGTTGCAACGTACACGTCACTGCACAACCGGAAGAGTGCTTGCACCGAAGGAAGCTGTCTGGGGGGGTTCCATAAATTAAGGATCCCTTTTTGGAGGCCTCACAATCAAATTCTACTATTTGAGGGGTTGTCAAGATTCGACCCCCTACCATCTGCCCTCGGTTTTTTAGGGTTCATAAAGGATCCGGCGCCTGGTGGAGCCGCAGTGCGAGGGCTTCGGGGCCATCTGCACCGTCAGGGCGCCAAAAGGAGATGATGGAGGCAAGCACAGTCTCTGCAACACTGAAGCACTGAAAACTTAGCTCCACTTTCCATTGAATGTTGCAAGTGTTTTTCCGTTTGATTCTCTGTAATTGGCGAATGCGTCCTCAGTCTCCCTGGACAGGGAAGGCAGCACTGCGAGAATTGGCTTAAGCCAAGCGTAGCCCGTCTTGGCCTGGCCCAGAATTATTACCTCGATTCAAAAACCGTGTTATCACCATTGCTACCATTATTCCTATGCTTACTGCTGCCGCTTTACTACTACTATTATGACTATTGCTACTACTGTTAACACTACGAAGTTTTCTACTATCACTACTATTTTTCTTCTATTATTGCTATTTAATAGCCCTTCTGAGCCTGGCCGCAGCATCTGCACGAAAGCTACAAGGAAAGGCGCCGCAAGCGCGCACCGGGCGAGGAGACGCCAACGGCTGTGGCCTCTTCCAAACAAAAATAATTGCAGAAGAACCTTACAATCATGTTAAAACGATCGTCGTAGTAGTAGTAGTAGTAGCAGCAGTAGCAGTAGTGGTGGTAGTGGTAGTAGTTGCAACAGCAGCCGTAGCAGTAGCATTCGCAGAAGAAGAAGTAGTAGAAGAAGTAATAAGGGTAGTATTAGTAACCGTTGTACTAATGCAATAACCGGCATTCTTCTTAGAACAATGATACTGGTACTAAGGATAAGAAGGGATGGAATAATGATAAAAGCCTTTCCAGAAGCCGAAGGCTGCCACAGACAAGCCTTGGCCAGGCGCTTTAGCGGCGAGGGTTTTGGAGTTTGGGGATTTGGGGTTCAACTGTAGGATTTGGGGTTTAGACCGGGGTGTAGGGTTTAGGGTTAGGGTTTAAGATTTAGGATTTAGGGTTCAGGTGTACGGTTTGGGGTAAGCCTCCCTAGTAAAGCGTCATCTGCCTGCAGTTACTCCATTTCTAGAAAAAAAGCAGACACGGTACATGAATGGAACCCTGAGAGGAGCCCTCCAGTACCAAAAATGAAGGTTAAAAAGTGGATGTGAGCATTGTGATGTCGCCCCTGTACGTAACAGAGTACAGTCCTGATAAGCCCGCAGGTGCGTGAACCCCTGTCCTCCGGCAAAAAGGCTGCCTGTGGCCTGAACCATGCCACCTCGCATGGGGCCACAACACGCAAAGCTCCCAAGAGACGAATTGGGGATGCAGGTGGCACCTTCGCTTACTCCAGGTTAGCCCAGCTGCGGGAATTGCTCCAAAGCAGCACATGCTTGAAAATCAGCATGCTGACAGGAGTTGAGTAAGGGAGCGTTGCAATTACAAGCGCGTGGGGTGTCTCAAACATGTCATCTGCTTTCAGTCTCTCCCAAAATTGTCGTGTGGATGCCTGCAAGCCCTCCTGTAAAGGCTGCCAGGAAGCAGATAAAGCAACCGCTTTGAAGATCATTGACCTGCAAGATACCAACCACAGTTGGAACACTTACCTCACGTAAAAGGTGCTGGTACTGCACTGATCGACATACTTCGTAACCTATTCAAATACTCCAGGGACCAAAGAGTCAAGCGAGCAGCTTCTGTGTCAGAGAATGGCTTTAGCTATCTGACCCCATACTGAATGGAACAAACTACTTTCGGAGACCGCCGGCAAATGCTTCGAAGACCAGCATGAATCCCACTCTGAGCTCCCCAGATCCAGCCAAGCACAGTACCAAAGCAGCTAAGCTTGGCAAGAAAAAAGAAAGAACCTCTACAACTCGATCTAATTCCACATCCCCCTCTTTGAAATCTCTTCTTCTTCTTCTCACTGCTACACCCCCTCCCAAGGGAGAGGGCTGGGGCAATGCCCCAAGCAGGTCAGGTCTTCAAGCGCGCACCGGCTCAGACTCCGACTACCGAACATTTGAAATCTCTCTCTCTCTCTCCCTCTGTAGAAAGAACACGCCATCTCCCCTCAAAATGACGTGCGAATAGTCTGCGCAACAGAGCTTGGACTATTCAATTCAATCCCAAGTGTGCGCCAAAGATGCAGAATTGCTCAAAGTTTGGACTTCAGATGTGAATGAAGCCGAGCACGCGGGCCTGGCGCTGCTGATACGGCTTCTGGGCACCCAAGAGGATGGCCATTCCGACAGTGATGAAGAGGGTCAGCAAGACAGATTTCACTGACACCTGCTTTAAAAGACACGCTTTGAGGGTTAGGGTGTTTAGGGTTCAGGGTGCATGGTCAAGGTCTCATCTTCAGCCAGGATGCGGTTGTGACCAGAGCCACAGCAACCACTTTCAGCGACGCTTCCACCCACACATCTTCGCAAGCGGCCTGCAATCCAAGGAAAGAAACCAAGGCAACCTCCAACACATACAGTGTTGACGGTCTTGTCCACATGTGTGCAGCGTCAGCGGTCGATTTGTCAGAATCTGTTGTCACAAACGTGCGTGCTCTTAGCTAAGGAGGCAGATTAGGATACAGGAATGTTATCCTGAATACATGACCTTGCGGCCAGGGCACGTACTTGAAGAAGATTGTCTTGGCACCGGCCAAAATGCCTCGGATGAATGCGATGGCCAAAGACACTTCACTGGAGGCTAGACCTCAAATGGGGACCCCATAATCTCCACATGATCCCCATAATCAAGTAGTCCAACTCTTTTACAGAAGCAGCGCTTGCTGTACTCCCTCTACTAATAAGATGAAAATCTTCCCAGGGGCGGTCGGACCCTGCCTTTTGTTCCATCATTTCGTGTTCTGCCAGCATCCTGACAACCAGGGCTGAGTGACCAAAAGCAAGTACATTGTGAGTTCGGGTGGTTTTGGGGGACCGATGCCTTGCCACCTGGCATGGAAACATCTTAACTGGAGTGGGGCCACCAGACTGATAGGCAACCTCAAGCTCTCCAAAAATCTGCTCCGTGCTCAATTCGTGAGAGGATGAGTAAGACTCGCAGACGTAAAGACATCTGACTTTTTGCACGAGCAGCAAGCAGGAAAACGATCAGAAAAAAACGCCCTCCGTGAAAATGCGCGCTGATTCTGACAGCGGCCTGGTGATGGTTTGGCACCGCCGCAGCTCGATGTCGGTCTTGTGCTCTTTGGAAGTGATGTTCGAAAACATGGTCGAAATCAGGCTCGTCGCCTGCGCAAATTGCGGATGCCACCGGTACTGGCATTCCAAACACCTCTCAAAGCTCACGAGGTTACGCACAGCACCGACTTAGGGAAAAGTCACATGCCCAGTACCCAAGCTAGATGACACATTTGGCTGTGGATCAACACCCCCTGTTAGTGCAATGGCTGCTCAAGCCTGTGACAAACCCAATTTGCGGCCGCTTAGGCCAACGGCCGGAAAACTACCAGCAAAAACCAAGATTTGACGGCCCTGCATAGCCGGGAGGCATCAAATTCCAAGAAGTTGTCACTGTTGTCAGGGGGAACCGTTTGCTCCAAAGTCCTGAGAAAGAGCGTGGGTACTGAGAATCCGCTAAGTACCTTACAAGTGGGAATTAACGGTACCAGAATGTCTTAAGGACATGCAGGATTTGTAGCATCAACAGGAACGCCATTCTCTGACCGAACCATAATGGGTTAAGGACATGCAGGATATTGCAGGATTTGTAGTATCAACCGTTGTATATCAGCACCGCCTGAAGGATGCAGCTCGTCATGCTTCCAAGCGTCACCGAGTCGCTAGTTCGCACAATGCGCACCTCGCCGCGGAAGAAAACGGCGCAGTAGGCGATGGCTGCTGCTAGGAGGCTGTCGGAAACTATCTTGCTCTGCGCGTCCTGGCGTTGAAGGCCATGGTATTTCTGTTACCCAGCAGCTAGCAGAGCCTCAAACAATGCAACAACTTGCGCAGCAATCTCAACTCGGCTTCCAGTGTTAGTGTAAGTGACCAATTGGTGACACTGTAATTGTGCCGCATTTGTTCCATCTGCTACTTGGGAGGACCCACAGGGCAAGTCTCTTAAAAATCTACAAGTAGCTTCCTAAGATTCTCTGGATGTCTGGAACATGAGCATGTCAGCTTTTAAATATCGAGCTGTGCATCCTCTTGGATGTCAGAGCAAAAGGTGGATTAAACAATTTTAGTGCAAAAAAGGACCCAAAAAATCCTTTGTGCGCGGTTACCGAATGGAAGGCCCATCCAGAAGAGACACCCGCGCGAGGCGCGGAGCCCACCCTAAAGTCGAAAGACTCAAACTCTGCCACCAGATAAGCAGGGTTTAGGGTTTTGTCTAAACTCCTGCATCCCCTTGATATCCCCTCTAGCACTCCCCTATATAACCCCCTTCAAGGAGCGTTTGCCTATAGCTCAGATGACGTAAGCCCTACGGATCAGGTGCTTCAGCTGAGGCTGGCCGGCCGCACAGAAGGCACGGGACAGCGGGCATGGACCCTGGACAATTCGTGACTGCCCCATAGTCGGTCCAGAGACGGTCGACACAAAGCCGTTGGCGTTCAGGGGCGCATCACGCCAAATGGAAAACTGCGAAGAAGAGCAAAACAGACGCTAATTCTAGGCCACGGATTTAGGTAGTCTCTGGTGAGCACAGAGGAGCACAAATGCAGGGGTGGTGCAGCCGAAAGTAAAGTCTTGTCGGAGGGCCTTGCCAGCAAGAGCGGAAATGACATACTCCTGACCAGGATGTAGAGGCCTGCAAACACCAAGGGCGGCCTTGGTGCGGGTTTTTCCCTGATCACGCAGCCCGGAAATTTGAGCAGATCCACGCACGTTCAATCAACTAGCTTCTTGTCAGATGCCATATCACTTGACCTCCAGCCCAAGGGTTCACCACCAGCGCTGTAGGCTCAATTGGAACCCTTTCATGTGCATGGCAGCAAGGCTATGGAAGGCAAGAAGGTGCATGCGATGGTAGCTCAAGGAAGTCGCGCGCGCAAAGAGCAGAAGGCAACAAGTTGCAGACACAAGGACAAGGTTAACACCGTGGTCCAAATGCGTGATGACGAAATCCGGGCTCTCTTTGAAACGGTTGGAACATATGGAACATCATGATGCTTCCTTTGCTCAATTGAGTCTACAAGACGAAGCAGTTGCAAGCAGTTTAACAAGAGTGGCCGGAGACAAGCCAAAAAGAGCCGGAAGTAGTGGAGAGAAAAAAGGAAGCAAAGCTGCTGCATGCTGGGGCATTCGCCCTCAGTAAGCCCCTGCACCCTGCACTGCACGGCTCCGAGGCCAAGGCACTTGCAGTGGTTCTGCTGCAAGCTTTCGGAGCTTGTCGATGCGCAGAAGATTCACACCGCGCAACAGTTTAAGCATGCACGTGAAGACCAGGAAGGTGGAGTGTTCACTAAATTCGAGTAGTCATCCCTAGAGCTCCCAAAATCGGGAGGGTCCACCGTCCACGCCAGCGCCGCAACATCCAGCCATCAAAAAATCGGAGAGTCCTGGTGCTTCCCGTGCGGCCCTGCCGCGGTCGCAGAATCCTGGGCCAAGGCCATGTCGTGATGACCCTGCTAGCTTGTTATCTTCATCATGCGAGGCACTGTGCAATCGGCCCTGGCTTTACACAAAGTACAAGAAATGCTTGTCAGGCAAATGCTTCTGCTGAAACAACTGCGGTCAGTGCAAAAATGGCAGCACAGCCACATCCTGATGGCAACCGCCACGGGAGCCATCCTCATGCTGCGGGGCAGTGTCCAATGGATCCTCAGGCGATGACGTGTTGCTCAATTGTGCAGGACATTGCAAGCATGGACTTGCAGAGTAGTCTTGAGAAGTTCAAAGAGGGCTTTGAATGACCAGCAGCATTTCCACAAATTGTCCGACGTAGAGCTTTCTTTACAAGTACAAACGTTGAGTGGAAAACCCGAAGCCCTAAACCTGGTGTGAAGCACGCTCACTTCCAGACACCCTGCCCACTTCATCTGCCTTGTCCGTCTCTGCCTCATCTTCCACCGGCTCAATGAGCTCAGCATGTGCGATCACCTTCTTGAAAATCATACTGGTCATTCAAGGATTTGCAGGGGTTGTCTGCGGGTTCTCTCGAGGTTTAGATAGAGGGTACATAATGACACTTGGCCTTCTTGCCCTCGTTTTCTTTGACCCACCAGCACACACAGCGTCGGTTGGCGGCCAAGGCCATGTTCTGTTTGACAATGAGGAAGACCAGGAAGCAGGGGATGATAACGCCGTATGCAACGGCGGAGCCATATCCCACGTAAATTGCCTCATGGCATTTTACAAACAGTTTCATGATTCCAAGACAGCCTAAAGGATCCAAGAAGCAAACCCCAAGAAATGACCGCATTACTACATTACTACATTAAGGAAACAAGAGGGCGCGGTCGCGTAGGTCCAGACCTCAAAGACTTAACTTCGACCCAAACCTTAGGGCAGACAAGGGCAATTACGGCTTGGAAGAGGAATGTTGGAAGGTTCCATTTCTGGGTACATTAAGTTTTGACCCTCGCCTACTCGTCGTGCGAGCATACATATGCATTTTTGGGGATACTTTAGGGTCATGATTTGAACCATGTGGTCCCTAAGGCCCTGGCCCAGGTGGCTTCCTGGCTGGGATCTTTACACCTCAGTCGTCAAATATCTGGGAAAAACACGTTTGGCACCCATGAGGCACCTCAGGTGGGGCAGCGCCACACGGAACGCGTGCTCGTGCAGAGAATCGCCACCTTTCATCCAACATCTCAAGAACATGATGGGCACAGCTTGTTGTGCCATCGCAAGTGAAGTGTAAGCACATCCCACAATTCGCCCTTGTCACTTGCCCTCCAACTTAGGATTGCGTCTACGATCAGAACCTGTAAGATGGGAATTGTGCAGCTACCCCTTTGGCTTTGCAACATACCTACAGCGTCATAAAAGATCAGAGTACTTCAAAGTTTTTCCATGATGATCCCTTCATGAAAGGGTTCTCTGCTTATTCCTGGCCTTGCTTCCAGCCTTAAATCGAATGCTGAACGCCGGCTTATAGCTGCTTCCTCTAGGTCTATTGCTTGTGTGCGTCTCATCTGTCCTCTGCCTTGAACTGCTGTCTCTGTTTTGCCGCCAGGTTGGTGGGACATGATTTGAAGTAGAGAATGGACTTGCGTGCTCATGCTTGCAGAGCAAACGTGCTTCAGATAGCCCCCCTAGCCTGCATCCACCTCCTGGCATCGCAGCAGCTTCTCACAGCTCGCGGCCCCACCGATGAAGAAAAGTACGAATACCTTCAATGCCCAATCGACGCCCCTGCCTGGTAGGGAAATGTATTGCAAATCATTTTCCAATGACCAACAGGACAGCTAACTCGTGTGACGCCAGGAGTGATGATAATGATAGTTCAACACCACTGGACCGCTGGATCTTGCAACGCATGATTTTGGGAGGGCCCTAGATCTTCCAGTCAACAATCCAACTCTTGAATAGTCAACATCCTGGCCCAGCATTTGCCTCTGCTCCAGCAGGCAAATCCACTCCAGTGAATGACTTCGATGAGAAGGCAAAGAATCAGCAGCAATAGCGGCAGGCTAGGGGAGGCAAAGGCACTGATGCTCCAGGCCAGCCTAACACAAAGTCAAGTACGGGCACAAGGAAGGTGCTCCCAGTGCAACCACTGGGAGCGTTTGGGTTCAGCTACATTGCACAACAACGCAGCTTGGATGACCATGACAACACGAGTGCAAAGGGAAACCCCGTCCTGCCGTAGAAACACTCGAGGCTCAGCGCATCACGAACGCCAGCCGCTGTCAGCTGCAACCAATAAGATATCTCCTTCGTTTCGTTTGCATCCATGACATGGTAGATTTCCGGATGGTTTTGCGGAGCTGTCATGGTAAGTTTGAGCGGGAAATTGCGATTGTTTGGTAGTCCGGAGAGGATCACTTGCCAAGGAGGAGAAATGTTGGGGAGACGTACTGAAAGGGTGACACACAATGAGAGACAGACAGGGGGAGCATGGGCACCGATGAACCATCGAGGCTGATTCCGCTTGCTGCGAATCAATCATGTCTGCCGAATGTTGTTTGTACCACTATGCTGGAGTTGGGTCTGCTAAGAATTTCTGGCAATTATTGACTCTGCGCCTGCGTGAGCTCCGCATCACCTTTCACTGCAGGGACAAGCGCCGTGAGGACGCCCCAAAGCTGGAAGAATTGTAGCAGCACAGGACCCTGCCCAAGCAGCAACGGAATCAAGGCCTCAGATATCACGGGAAGAAGCCCATTAATGCCGTCGTCAGAAGCTGTGCACCCAAATGCTGTCTGGCGTCCTTCACTGCGGATGATGACGATGAAGATGAATCTGTTGCCAGCGAAGGCAACGGCAGGGCACCATTCCTGCAAGATATGTCGTCCCACATCATTTCAGGTATATTCAGCTCATGTCAACTGCTCAACTGTTCAGTCGTGCGGCAAATGCCCGCTCCTCCATGCAACATAGATCCCTGCTGCTGCCACGGCGACCAACACCCCAGCTCCAGCCAACCAACATCGGGAAAGCTCGGTGGCCTCGTCACACCTGCTGCAGTTCTGCTTTCATCCTCAAGAGTTCTAGGGTGGACATGCTGCGATACCAAAAACCCTGCCCGAAACCGCAGCTGGCCTCTTGCAGCGACCATTCCTGCTGCGGAAGTTCTTCGCACAAATGCTGCACAGAGTGCCCTCATAGCCTCAGCAAACAAAAACCCTTCCACGAGCAGCCCGCGAAGTTGCCTTGAGCAAAGCGGCCTTTGGCACAGCCATGAGCCTTCCAGCTGCTTGTACTGTTGGCCGAATTGCACCGCTCTTCAGCTGGGAAGAAGCACCTCTTAGGCTGAGTGGAGCTAAGCGGCTTGAGGCACACCACAACGAAGCATAAGCAAGGCTGGCTGAGGTCCGCACTCATAACAGGTCAGATTTGTTTCATCTAGGCGCGCTCGGCCCACCGCGCAACGGCAAAGCTGGTCGGTCAGAAAAAGGTTCGGTGTGACTTCCAACACTGTGGACCGCAAGTCATCGCATGCAAGCCGCCCTCGATCTACCAACTTCTCCTTGCGCTGTGGTGGAAGCAGCTCCATGACTTCACCCGCCTGCTGCTCAGTCAGAGTCACGCCTCTCAGGTCAATATTGATCTTTCGATGAAAAGCTCCGCGGAGGACCCCTTTGTCGAAAGTGAGGTGTGCATCCTCCGCGTTGTCTGCCAGGGAGAGCAGGCCCCCAGAAACCAAGCCCTCCACTCGTTGAATGCTGTTCTCAGACAAGTCCAAGGTCTGGAGCGAAAAGGTTAAGTGATGGTCGTCCATGTAAGGCAGCGTGCCCGTCAGGCCGCACCCTTTCGCGATCACCTTCACAACATGCTTGGACCAAGCAAACGGCCACATCAGCTTTTCCACCGGGCTGTTCAGCGGGCAGCCAGAGACCTACAGCAGCCCGGGCAGGTTCAACGACAAAGCTCGGCGCATTCCCCTGCATGCTCACTTGCAGACAAGTGACATCCAGAACACTCAGAGCTGGCAGCATCGGGTGGACAGCGACGCCTTTTGTGATGGCATCATACTCGGTCGCTGTGGGCACGAGGTGAACTTGGCTGTCCTCAGCAATGGAGTTCGTGCATGGCGCAGCCTTGCGCAACACAGCTACAGCTTGATGCCTTGGGCACGGGCCGCCAAGTCTAGGACGTTCAGCCGTGGAAGCCCACCCAGCCAATCGTTTGTCAGACGGCCAGTAACCTCTGTTTGCCGCAGCGCAGCCTGTTCCAGTTCAGGAAACTTCAGCAGGTCCTGGAGAGTCCCGGTAATCTTTGTCTTGGACAGATCCAGTCGAATCAAATGGCCAAGGCCATGCAGGGCCTTGAGGTGCCCGGTGACCTGTGTCTCTGACAACTGTACATCCTCTATGTCTACCAGCTCCTGCAAGGCCCCCAGGTCGCCGCTGACGTTTGTCCTGGAAAGACTCAGCTCCCTCAACTGCTTCAGCTCTTGTAGCGCCTCTAGCTTTCCGTGGACTAATGATTGCGACAAGACAAGGTATTCCAGCTGCTTCATACCCTGCAGGGCGTCCAGCTCTCCCGTGATCTGAGTGTTGGGCAGCTCCAGCTGCCGCAGCTTCACAAGAGGGCTCAAGGCATGGAGGTTGCCCGACAGCAGCAGGTTCTCTCCAAGCCAGAGGTTCGTGAGATTGGCCAATTTGCCCAGCTCCATGGGCAACTCACCCGTCAAATTTTTCTCTGCAACATCGATCCACTCAACGCATTTCTTACTCTCCTCGTCGCACCGAATTCCCTCCCATTCACAATAATTCGCATCTTTCATCTTGTCACCAGCAACACCCAGAATCCGCAGGGACGCTCTTAGATAGGTACCATCTTGATCGCCTTGGCTGGCGTCGGCTGGAACACTCGACCACCAAAACCTGACTGAAAACCTGAATGCAGTGAAGCTGCAGCTGCTGACCCCACTATTGAGCAAGCTGGAGATTGCCTGTCTTCAGCCCTACGCACGCAATACCGCAACTCTGACCCTTGCAAACCTCTCTGGCAAATGTTTGTTGGGCAACTGTCATAGCCTGATCCTGCACTTCTGAGGCCAGACTCCCAGCACCAAGGTCCTGCCAGCTGTTCGCACACAAATCTGCTGCTATGCCTGCTCAACATGAATCCGGTCCTCCGCAGGCGCAGGGCGCGTTGCAGCCGTCAAGGACAAGCAAAGTCCCAGCCACGCGAGAACCATCTCACAAAGACGGCCTAACCTTTTAAGTGTCTTGTAAGCAAGTACTTAATGCAGGAATGTTGGGCCCGAAGGTCCCGACGGGTCCGGAGGTGCCTTCCCCACTTTTACATGTAGACATGGAATCAGGAAATGGTTTCGCAAACCTACGGAGCCCAAAGGCTTCAAGCACGTACGCCAGAGCATTCTAAGAGGTGGATGCTAACTGCTGTGCGTCGATGATACGCAAGACTCAATCTCAAAGCTTGGAGGAAGCTGCACATCGATCAGTGAACACAGAGTTTTCCGCGATCAGCCAATGCACCAGGCAAGATGCCTGTCCCGTCAAGGTGTTTCGTGAACCTGCTTCTACTTTCAAGCTTGCCAAGCACACAAAGAACCGGCCCTCAAACAATCAGACATCCTCTTGTAACGTCCGCAGCGTCTTTCCTGAGTGCCGACCTTGGCCATGCAGCGTCCTCGTCCTCTCGCCTCGGAATTCGCATGGTAGGCTTTCAATCTGGCCTTTCCTTCACGAAGTTGCAAGTCCCATTACCATGGCACGGTCGTTTCAAGAGGGAAACTGATGCCCCACAGCCGCGAAGCATTGTAGCTTTTGAGCCATAGACCCCTGTTGTAGCAGACGCTCTCATCCCAAACCCTACACACTCCGAAGCCCACGATGCAATTAATCAAACACCCCCCCCACTTGCGGCCGTTTCCCCAGAGCGGCAACAGCACATGTCAAAGGCACGCATCCAACACCAGGTCAGAGCTTGGGTTTTGAGTGGGACACCCTAGGACCTAGGAAAACCAATACTTGTGCCGGGGTTATCACACATCAGTCGGTGAGAATTCGCATCTCCACATGTAGATGCTGCATCAGGGAAAATATACTGTATTTTGAAGAGCCGGACGGAAGGTGTAAAAATGCCGCTTATGTGGCAGACGCTAACGGCTAACGCTTGCAGTACGCTTTGCATGCTTTTTGGCTACCCTTCATCAGGAAATCTTCAAGGAGACGCTGTATTTGGAAGAGCCGAAAAGAGTGCGCTGGCAGGCATATCGCCTACTAGGGGATTTTGCATCAACACCCGCGAGCAGCACTGTATGTACTAGGGGATCTTATAACCGGAGCCCACCTAAATACTGATTTTGCTATGGGATTTCGCTACAGGAACCCGAGAGAAATCCTGTACTTACTAGGATGATTTTATAACAGAAGCCCACCCAAATACTGTGTTTGCTATGGGATTTCGCTACAGGAACCCGAGAGGATGCACTTACTAGGGTGATTTTTATGACAGAAGCCCACCTAAATACTGATTTTGCTATAAGATTTCGCTACAGGAGCCTGAGGGAAATCTTATATGTACTAGGGAGAATTTAAATACCAACTCACCTACATACTGATTTTGATATGGGATTTCGCTACAGGACCTCGAGAGAGATCCTGTACGTACTAGGGGGATTTTATTACAGAATGCCGCCTGAATACAAAATTTACCATGGGATCTTGCTTCAGGAGCCCGATGGAAGACTTATATGTACTAGGGGAATTAATAACAGAAGCCAACCTAAAGTACAAGAGGACTTCACAACAAGAGCCAGAGCCTGAGAGAAATCATGTCGATTTGACAAGAGGAGCCGACAGAAATATTGATCTCGATATGGGATTTTGCTAAATCCATCATACGGGTATTCCAAATTTAAGGGATCCATTTCTTGAAGTCTTGCCAAGGGAGGATTCTGCTGTATGAGGGGCTAGAGAGGCGACCCCAGTTTTCATAGACTTCCATACGCGCAAGTCTGGAAGAATTATTTCTGCCGAAACTCAAAAATCAGAAGATCTGCAAGGAACCGAACGATGCCCGAACGATGCCCCAACGATGCCCCAACGATGCCCCGAACGATGCCCCGAACGATGCCCCGAACGATGCCCCGAACGATACCAACAACCCGTCATCTCAAGCCGCTGGCCACTCTGCACATGGAACCAGACGATTTCGTTCAGGGATATCCTACGGATACGGCGATGAAATCTAAGGGTCAAGCTTTGGACTGTTGAACAGTCGAAGAGGGACTTATATCAACATTATAATACAAGATCAGATGGGATTTGACATGTTCGTAATATCCGCAGACGCTGTCATCAACAAGATTTTCGGGATTATGTTCTGAAGGAGTGGCCGAGCCCAAGACATGGTTTCCCCAAGTAGACGCTCATAGATGGCCCCATAACTCTGTGTCGCAGAGAGATATAAGGTCTATCCAAGCGGTGATGCGAGCTGTTCACATGAAAGCCGCCTCGATTAGACCAGGTCTTTGGGTCCCTTCATCGCTTTTTGCTGCGTTCGTCCTCAAACATGGCCTTGCGGGTCGCG